CCCGCCGTCCGCCCCGACCCACTTGTAGCCGCCGCAGGATCAAACTCAGATCACCTCTCGCCTCCTCTTCCTCCTCGCCAGCGTCTCTCGGAGCCCGGCACCTACAGACGGACGATAGAAGACACGCGCGCGCACTCGCACACACACACACACACACACACACACACACACACACACTGTGCGCACTCGCTTGGTGCTCGCTTGGCTGCTAGGCTACTTCCCTCCCACTTTTCCTCCCTCCGGGGTCCCCCGGCCCCCTTCTCTAGCTCCAGGCAATCCTGTGTGTACCGTAGTCTCCGCACTCCTGTGCGCGGGACAACTGGGGAGGGGGTGGACGTCAGCAGCCCCTAAGATTGTGTCTAGGGTCCAGGAGCCCCATAGAATGGGGTCGGTGTGGGCTCTTACCTCCTAATTCCCTCTAGCCCGAGTCTCCATCCTTGATCCCTACATCCCCAAATCTCAGGTGTGCCAAGGTCCCCCACCCCTCATCTGGCTCCTGACCTACAGATCTGGAGGTTTCCAGGAGTCCCGGGCTGCAGACACCACAACCTCCCCTCCCCCCGCTCTGCGACACCTTCCAGACACCCCCCCCCCACACACACACACGTATTTCATATCCCATGTCCGACGCCCGCCAGCAGAGTCGGAGGAGGCCCGATGCCGGCCCAGCACAACGCACCGGGGACAAAAGCTGCAGCCCCAGCGCTCGGAGGCGGGAGGAGTCGGGTACAAACGTTCATTGATACAAATGAGTAAATAAACATGCCGGGTGAGCGCGGCCACCTTCCCAGAGCGGCCGCAGAGGGCCTGGGCGCGTGCCTGCCAGTGGTGCGCATGTGGCCCCAGGCCGCACCTGTGTGTGCGCGCCTGTGTGCAGCCCGACGTCTGTGGATAGAGGTGGCTGTCTACAGGTTTTTTTTGTGTTCTCTCTGGAGCTCTGTGTGTGTGTGTGTGTGTGTATGTGTGTGTGTGTGTGTGTGTGTGTGTGTGGCGCGCGCGCGCGCACTCACGTATGTGTGTCCTATGGTCTCCTCTAAGAGGCTGAGTTGGAGCTGGGTACACTAACATCTGCCTGGCTAGTGCGCAGCTCTCTTGTCTCCTGCACCCTCGTTTTCCCCAGCCCCTCTAGTCTCTGGTTCACCTGCACTCCTGGAGCAATGAACTAGACATTCCGCCTTTACTTGAGAGAGATGTACGCGTAAATGAAACCAGATTCTTCTTTTAACACCTCCGGTGCGCCCAGCACAGATTCTGCTTCAGAACTCACTAGAAAAGAATGCGCGTCTAAGATGCACGCGTAAGTGTTGTCTCTGGCTGGGTGAGCGCTTCCGAGGTTGATGCGGCCAGCTAGGAGACGCTGGACGTTGCTGCAAGCTTCGGGTCATCTAGATTCACTCTCATTTTCTCTCTCTGCCCTGGAACCCCACCTGGTGGACAGTTATAGTACTACAGCTCCTCGGGAAACAATTCTCACTTCTCACTTCTTCCCTGATGGCCTCTCCCTAGTGGGAGATCTGTCCCAAAGAACTTCCCACCTCTGGGAAGTGTGGTCCCTGAGCTGGGAAGTGCCCAGTATAGGAAGGGTTGTTTTTTTGTTCGTTTGTTTTGTTTTGTTTTTTGCAGGACTATTAAATCTGAACTTGGTAGGTAGCCCAGGAGCAGTTAGGTCACCACTAGCCCATTCCCTGTTAAGAGGATTGAGGCTGGGTTAAAAGGCTCAGTTGTTGATGTCTGGCTGTCTTGAAGAGCCATAAGAATCTCAGTGTTCCTCTACTGGTGGTAAAATCCCTATGATGATCTTGGGGAATCCAAGAGGACCTGAACATAGCTGAGCAAGATTCAAATATATGCACGGGCAGGCACTGAGTTCCCACAAAGGCACCTAACGACCCTGACTACAGAATAGCAAAGCCCTACTCCCAGCTACCAACCTGAGCCCACAGAAGTAGCTACTCTGTGAATAAGAAGTCTCCAATTGCCTTTTCCCTAATCCCCTGCTCCTTGGGGGCTGTGACCCATTTCCCCCTCCCAATCCTGTTCAGGTGCCGAGAAGGAATGGGGAGGGGACATGGAGATGAATTCTAAGTCCTTTGACATTGTCCAGCTACCAAGTGGGTTCCCAGGCAATGTCCATGGAGACATAGTCCCACAACAATAGTTGCTATGTTTCCTAATTGGAGCCTTATCTCTGTTCAACTCCGAAAGAGTACTGGGAGGGGAGAGGAAGGGTAAGGAAAGGCATGCTATTCTAATCCTGTAAGACTTCCTGGAGGAAGTTGTATGGAGTGAGAATGCTAGAACTGTAAGAGTAAGCTTGTTAAGAGAGTGACTAGAGCCACATGTGATGATGCCTGCTTGTAATCCCATGACTTGAGAGACTAAGGCAGGAGAGTAGTGTAGAGAATGAGGCCAGTCTGGGCCACATAGTGAGATCCTGTGTCCAAAAATAAAAGCAGAAAGGAAAATAAAAGGCTGGCACAAAGGAAAGCTGATGGCCATCTTTGCCAGTCAGTTCCCCTCAGAGAACATTATTTCAGTCTAAAGGGGACTTGTTTTTTCTTTTCCTTGTAGGTAAAATTTCATTTGTTTCTTATCATCCCAGGATTAAAAAAAATTACCTCTAAGTAGTTGTACAAAGGATTCAACAATGCAGTTTATGAATACAGTGCATCTTGGTCAATATAAGAGAGGACTTTGTACTCTGATTCCAGCCTGAAGTCTGACCCAGACTTCAGTCTGATTTATAACCCTGTCCTAAAGGATTATGGCTACTCTCTCATGAACTGTACCAAAGCTGGGGTTTAATTCAACTCAAAAGATTCTGTGAGCAGAAATAGGCTCTAGGTCAGAATATTTCTTTTATTTCTGGCCTTCGAATGATATGCTGGTCCCCCATAAGAATCCCTTTCTACCCAGTCTCCCTGTTGCCAAGCACAGGAATTCCTGACCACTGGTATCTCTCATGAAGCACTTTGCATGGCCACGGGCACATCTCAGGGCTTGCCTGTGGTCCTACACCCACTTTGAAATCAGTGAGGGTAGAATGGGATACCAGTCAATGGGGGGAAGGGCACTGCTGGCTCAAGTGGAGTTCTACCTGGAGGAAATTCACAGTGCTTGGCAGAAGAGGCAGAATATGGGGAGCAAAGCACACACACACACACACACAGAGAGAGAGAGAGAGAGAGAGAGAGAGAGAGAAAGCTTCCCTGTACTGGTCTGGTCTGGCTAAAACTCTCCTCACCCAGGCACAAAGCTGCCTGGATTGCTGTCTGTCCTAGGCTTTCTCCACCCAAAGCAGTAAATACATTGCCCCTCCCATGGGTGCACTCCTATAGAGCCAACAAATCTCTTCCCTAGCTATTCTCTGATTTCATCTCCACACAACATTGAGGCAACACTGTTCTTAGATAATCACATTTATCTATCACTTCTTGTACTGATGAGAAAACTGAGGGCCAGTCCAGCCTCAACCACTTCATTGTTTTATTCTATTCTCTCTCCCACCAACTTCAGCCAGTCCCCAAGAACCAAGAGCTCCTTTGTTTAATGTCTAGGCTTCTGACCACTGAAGCCGACAACAGAAGAAACGTTTAGTTTTACATTTGATTTTGCATTGTTTGGGCCCTGGATTTTTTCATTTGAAATTGCACAGGGCCTCCCTGATGGACAGTGAACTCTGTGGGGGGCAAAACCTCTGAAGATTTCACCTCAGAGCATTCCTTCTGCTCTCAGCCCTGTTCAGCCTCCCTGGCACCATGGAGCCCTTGGAAAACTCAGCTCACAACTCTTTCTTATCCTCCCTAGGGCCGC